GGGGGCCCAAGGGGGCTGAGGCGGGGGGCACAAGGGGGCCTGAGCAAGGAATTAGGAGTCGTTATTAATACGTGGCCTGTGGCAGTCCCTGCTGTGCTCGGGCGGGACGTGATTGATTGGGCGTAGGGCAGACACCACCTGGCGCGAGGACAGCCCGGTCCCCGGCACAACGACAGGACACGGGGGTGGGCCCCCTCCGTCTGGCCACTCCTGCACTTTGCCAGCCTGGTCCTAGTGCCCCCCTGGGCCTGCCCCCCTGCCCCAGGTGAGCCAGATTCGCTGGATCCCAATGGGCAAACACGGACCGTTCCGTCTGGGCAGCACTCCGAGTTGGAACAAAGCATCCAAGCGAGATTCCCGATGCGCAGAGCTCTCAGCCATTCACGCTGCCCGCCCCGGGGTGCCAGGCCCCTGGAGCCGTGCGCCCCTCCCCTGAGCGCTCTCGGGGCCCGGGCAGCCTTTGCGTGGTCCGGACGGGGCAGAATCCCAGACCCCCTTTCTTTCGCCAGCATTCCCACGGCTTACACCAATGTGCATTTTCAAGCATTTTTTTCAAACTCAAGGCACATTTTCCCCGGGGAGGGAAACAGGAGGGTTGTCAGAAGGGATTTAATGGCAGGACCCGTTGAGATTCAAAAAGGTGAAGTGTTGTGACCATTAACACACAGACTGTCAACAGCCCCTATCAAAACCTATGCAAATATCCCTCACGCCACGCTACTAAGTGCTCAAGCAGCCTTCCCTTGCTGTGTCTCTGTGCGTTTCAGTTCTCACCCTGAGCAGGGACAGTGACATGGACATCGAGCCAAACCTCCCAGAGTTAACGCGGGGTGTGTCCAGTGCCAAGCACCAGGGACGTCAATCCAGAACCCAGGCCCCCAGGCGTTACCCAAACACGACCACTGTCCCTCCAGCACCTCTGTCTCCAGCCAGCGCCCAGCGGCCTGTCTGAACTGGACAGCGCTTTTACCGGGACAGGAGAGAAGGATGTGGGGCGAGGAATTCACACCTCTTGTTGTCCCCTTCCCCCCCGCTCTGTTGTGAGCTTCCATGTATCCCGGGGGACTGTAATCCCTCTGTGGTTGGGGAGTCGGATGACTAGTTCCCATGGCTGCCCATTCCCACAGCAGCTAGGACTCCATTACACACCACGATGGGGTGCGTAGCCACCCGGGCCCTGAAGGGGTTAATGACGTTCTGCAGCTGTTGGGGGGGGGGGGCACAGCAGCTAGGACTCCATTACACACCACGATGGGGTGCGTAGCCACCCGGGCCCTGAAGGGGTTAATGACGTTCTGCAGCTGTACGGGGGGGGGGGAGAGCCCGGTTTCACTGATCTCGAAGCCCAGCTGGGAAGGAGCAGGGCAGTTAGTAAAAAGCCAGGAAGCTGAGAGCAGAAGAGGGCTGCGAGGGGAGACGCTGCAGGCTGCGTGTGGGAACCCAGGGGGGAGAACAAGCACTGGGAGACCCGCCTTGAAAGAGGAGCCAACCCAGAGAAGCTGGGGCAAGAAGGCCCAAGAGAGGCAGGGTACAAAGAAGTCCAGGGAGCCAGCACCGAGGAATGGCAGGGGGCAGCCCTGGGCTTGGAGGGTCCCCGCTGGACGGCACCCCAGTGTAAAGAGAGGTCCCAGATCCCCCCCTCACCGTCTCTGGGAAAGCAGCATGAGCCCCGTCAGGAGCCAGAGATCCGACGCGAGGGCTAGACAGTATTTATTGTCGGTGGAACTTTTTACCCCAGAGCAGCTGACATAAATCTTGTGACCTGGCCAGAGGGCCAAGATGGAGAGACACCACCGCAGCAATGGGGTGACCGCCAGTAGGGGGCGCCGGACAGGGAAACAGCTGCTCTGCCCCCCCAGGCTGCTGCGTGACCGCCTTACGCGCAGGCACATATAACCCATGCAGCTTTAGGACCCAGGTACACCGCTTACACAGTGAATTACCGGCACGTAGCAGCCTCCTGCCAATTACAGGAACTGGTGACGAAGCACAACCACCACAGAACACCCGAACTAGCGGTACCTGCACTATCGTTCCGGCATCTGCCCCACACCGCTCTGCGGTGACTGTAACGTAACTCCCGCACCATTGCAGTCACTTGATTGTATCACCCACTGGGATGGAGCTGCCGGTTTCAAGGAGGCAGGCACCCAGCAGCCCCATGTGCAAAGTTCAGGGAGACCTCAAGAACTGAAAGGGAATTAGGCCCTTGCCTTCCTTCCGGCCACTTGGGCCTCGTGTGCTGCAGCCTGCAGCCCTGATCCTCACCAGGAGCTGCACTTGGGCGCCTGACGGTGCTTGCAGGAGGGGTAGGAGGGTTTTACAGGAGTTTGGAAGCTCTGCGGGTTTTAAGGCATTGATGTGCAGAAAGAAAACTCCGTCCGTGCGTCTAGTCACCCCGGATGAAGCCTCACACTTGAATGGGCAGTGAGGGAAAGTGATTAAAGTCATCGAGTAAGTGGCCAACAATTTACTGTTGTGAAATTCCTGGCAAGTTCTTAGCAGCTAGCAACACCATGGAGATGTGTCGAATGCCCTGCGGAGCATAAAGCTTCCATCCAGCAGAGTCCACGGGCTAGCCTGGCTGCTAAAATCCCCTGACCGGCCATAGCGCCGCGCTTCCTTGGGCCAAGCGCTAACGGCCCCTCCCCACACACGAGAGCCTAGCGATGGGAGAGACACAGAAGTGAAACGATTCGTGCAAGGTCGTGCTGTGAGCGCGTGGCGTGTAGAGGAGCACGGCCGGAGCCCTGGGCCGAGCTGGGCGAATAATGGATTCTGCGGTTCACCGGCAGTTCGGGAACATGGAAGAAAAATGCATTTGGGACCCACAGAAAACATTTTCTTTCCATGTGTGTTTTAATTTTAACCAATCAAAAAGTCGCGAGGGGACTGGCTTGGGTCAAACCCATTTTGTTTTGGTTCTTGAGCAATTACAAAAACGAGATGGAAAGAAGCGCTCCCGGCAGACGGAAAGGCTCCTTCGTCAGACTGTTTTGGGGGGTTTCCAACTGAGCCAGCTTGCCGAACGCGACAAAGTCACGAGCCGGTGCAGTGTCACCAATCTGCGTTTTTCCTCGAAAAAAAGTTTGGATCAAAAAAATGCTGGGCCTGACTCTCAGTCCTTCGCTCTAACCACCAGGCCACACTCCCATCTGTAGGCTGGGCAGGATGTGGATACAGAGCTGTAGGGAGCAGTGGATCCCATGGGGGCTCAATGCTTGCCGAACGCGACAAAGTCACGAGCCGGTGCAGTGTCACCAATCTGCGTTTTTCCTCGAAAAAAAGTTTGGATCAAAAAAATGCTGGGCCTGACTCTCAGTCCTTCGCTCTAACCACCAGGCCACACTCCCATCTGTAGGCTGGGCAGGATGTGGATACAGAGCTGTAGGGAGCAGTGGATCCCATGGGGGCTCAATGGTCGGGGGGGGGGCTTTACAGGGAATTTTGGTTTGGTGTCCAGTGTCCCCCTCAGCAGCTGCAGCAGGGCCGGGCTAGGTGAGTGGGCAAGGGGGGGCCGTCGTACCGCAGCGCTGGCTGGCCCCGCGGCCCCCTGCTGGGAGCGGCAGGACAGGACTTCTCAGCTGTGCTGCGGCCGCACTACTGCATGCAGCACCTCCTAGGGGATGCAACGGGTACTGCAGCAGGTCCTAGGCAGCACCCTCCCCCTTGCAATGCTTCTGGGGGTGAG